ATTCATGGTTATTGTTGTTGTTTGTTGTCGTCTTTGTTGTTGTTGTTGATGTTGTTTGTTGTTGTTGTTGATGTTGTTGTTGTTGTTGATGTTGATGTTGTTGTTGTTGTTGTATAAATGGTCATTTTTTTGGCGTTTAATTACTATCAGATACGGGCTAATACAGTTTCCAAAGTGACAAAAACGCCAGGATGGAGAAAAATAATTTTTCTCTAATATACTTTCCAACGATGAAAAACTAAAAAAAAACATAAAATTAAACTTCCATGTCTAGACAGAAGGAAAATAAATAAATAATAATAATAATAATAATAATAATAATAATAATAATAACGACAATAATAATAATAACCACAATAATAATACAAATAACAATAAAGCAACAACATAGTACTGCTACTACTACTGCTGCTGCTACTACTACTATAATTACTACTGCTACTACTAATACTACTACTTCTAACAATAATAATAATAATAATAATAATAATAATAATAATAATAATAATAAATAATAATAATAACAATAATAATAATAATAATGATAATTTATCCTTCGGTGCAAATAAAGTTATAAAAACAATGAGGAAAAATAATTTAGAAGAAAAAATTGTAAAATCAAAACAGCTCTTTAAAAATTATGGAATAATAAGAATAAAACCAACAATCATATTATTAATATATAATAATGAATAATAATAATATAAATAATTAATGATAATAATAGCAACAACAACAGTAATACTAGAATTACATTTCTGTGTGTATATTTTTTTACACCACACATACATACACATTTGCTTAATATCTTAGATAGCTAGCATCGATGCCATTGCAAATGAATGAATGAATGACTGAATGAATGAATGAATGAATGAATATGTGAATGAATGAATGAATGAATGAATGAATGAATGAATGAATGAATGAACGAACGAACGAACGAATGAGTGAGCGGGCGAGTGAGTGAGCGAGTGAGTGAATGAGTGAATGAGTGAGTGAGTGAGTGAATGAATGAATGAATGAACAAATGAATGAGTGAATGAATGAATGAATGAATGAATTAATAAATTAATAAATTAATAAATTAATTAATTTTCAAAGCATTTAACCGAACAAGTAAATTAGAACGTTAATAGGTATAAACCGCATGAACATTCGCGCGCCATATCTGGTGTTTTCAAAACTTTAATTATAAACAAAACGATCCGCGAATCATACACACAAACAAATAAACATACATAAATACATACATACAAGCGAACAGACACACACACATACACACACACACACACACACACACACACGTACACACACACACATATTAATGAATGAC